TGCTTAATGAAGAAAAATAGCAAGAACAACATCAAGCAATCAAGTAGAAGCTGCTGAGATGCTGGAGGCTTATTTTTCCGAGCTGAAATTGGCCCAAGCCTTATTAAAGACGAAGCAAATGTAGACATACCCTTCTTAAATTTTCTTTGAGTAACTTCTTAAGAGTTCGTCTTCTAAGAAATTTCTTTTACACAAGTTCTGTTTCTCTTTTTTGCACTTTGTGAATCAAAAGCGACTGGATTAGACAGCATCTCGGCAAAATTGCTCGGAGACTGCTTAGATTTAGTCGCTGAATCGCTCACATTAATATTTAATCAATCATTATTAAGTGGAACTGTTCCCCAAGAGTGGAACTCCATTGCGTAAAAATTCTGGAAAACGAAATGACCCCACGAATTATCTACCAATTTCGGTAAACCCCACCGTAGCGAAAGTATTCGAAGGCTAGAATCATTATGATCAACTCTATCAATATCTAACCAAAAATCATCTTCCTTCCCGTTCCCAATCTGGTTTTCGTTCTTAACATTCTACTGTAACCGCTTTGCTTGAGGCTACAGATTGTGCAATTAAAAGAATAAGGCATCTTCACTTTGTTGTTAAAGACAACGAACGCAAATTCCCTTAATTTCGGAATCAAGGCCAGACCACAGCGACGGGAGCTACGTTCCTTACTCTTCGCGAGAAGTGAGTGGGCTCTTTAACTTCCCCCCCTAACTAGTACTGAGTAGATGCGGTAGACGAAGCCTGCGGTTTATCGTCCTTATCCGAGAAGACTAGGATATTTAACCACTGCAGATGTCATGGAAAAGGCACCACATTCTCCTCAGTTATTTTAGGAAGCTGAGTGTCAAATGTTTATCGGAAAAGACACATCGATGGTCAAAAATTTTATATCGTTTCTGACACTCACAGAATTAGGTAACAATGCCAGTGCCAGATGAGCATGAAGCGACAAACTTCAGCAGAAAATTTAAAAACCGAAGGCAATATTACTCTATTCTCTCGCCGTTTTGCGGCTCGGTAAATAACCACCAGTGACCACTTCAGTGAATAGTTGTTCAATTGTCAGATATAATAAAGGTTTATAACGTTTAATAAAATTTGAGAAATGAGAAATACAAATTGATGAGATAATAGTAATCGACAGATAGAGAAGTGATAAGCAGTTTAATTATAACTTACGACTGGAATCTTGAATTACACGATTATTACAGAGGATAATATCAATAACACCATTGAAAAAAACTATCAGTGGTTTAAAGCAAGTTTGTACAAAAATTTTTTTTGTATATTGGTGATGTTTGTAAATAAAATATGGTGATTAAATATATAATTCCAATCAAATGGTATAAGCTTTATGGGCATTAAAAGTGATAAAACTGTCACGAAATCTTTTTGTCTTGAACACGGGCCTACGCTTCCATCACTAGCAATAATTAAAGTATATAAAAGTTAAAGCTATACTAATGGCGGCTATAGGCCTCTTTAAGGAGGCTCTGTAGGCTTTCGACTGCGCGAGATATGGACCGGCGAACATAGCGCGAGCTTTAAGAATGTCAACAAGCAAAACAAATCTGGCGGCTCGATACGATAGCACGATTGTTATTTCAAAAGGTAGATAAACAATACAATTTTTTGTAATGGACTCTAGGGTTTATCTGCAACGATACCCATGTATTCATAGGTCTTCCTCACCTAAAAAAGGGGTCAACAGAAAAGAAAACGCTGAGCGAAAGTTTGCGAAAGGGCAACAGATTCATACGTTTGCGTATGCTCAGAGATCGAGCTTAGCGAAGTCCTATTAAAGGACGTAATATTTTGAGAGAAACACTAAAAATCTTTGGAGTGAGGTCCATCGCGTTTCCTTCCATAGAATTTCCTAACATTTAGTAGAGCGTTAAGCATATTTGTGCCCTACCTGTTGCCAATTAATGAAAAGTTCATAAGACCAATTTTAAGCTAGAGGTGGAAAAAATATACAAGAAGCGAAGAAACCACACCTTAATAAAAGTTAACAAAAGATCGTCAGGACAAATGTCACATATTGTAAAAACTGTGCAAGATTCCATCGAAGCGTATTGGAGAAAATCAAAATCATAGACAAATTAACGCTAGTGAGCACCTTCCTTTGCAGTGTTTAAGCTCAAACACAAAAACCTTTGTGTTAATATTAACTACAGAAACAACAGTTCGACCCTTGTTTATTACATTTGGATAACAATTAGTGATCTCGTAAAATAGGTTGCGGTTTTTCTTCGTGGCAAATAACACTTTCAAAAGAGAATATGATCGTTTATCTCACGATGTGGCCACTTCGGATGTGGATGACGACGTTTCGACTGCTTACTGCAGTCTTCTACTGATGAAACGATTCCCTATGCATATAAATAGAGGGGGTGACTTTCTAAAAACTGTGGTGCTGCGTCAGTGGGAGAGCTAAACAGGGTAATTAAATGTTATCAACTGAGTTGATAACGTAATTTGACCACTGTAAAGAGTTTCAAAGCTGACGTTAAGAGCGTTATCCATTCATCAGTTGAATGAAAAGCGCTCGTCAATGCATATCCTGGTGATTAAGATTCAAGAGTGATATCCGGAGCATTTACCAAAGCGCAGGAATTTGCATGCATGAGTGCTAACAGTCTCAGAAAGAGCACAAGTTTGGACTGATTAGCACAAGAGGAGCTAACCCTGTGGTATCCAGTCGATTCGTACCTACGGTCGTTTCGCACTTAGTCAATTCGTACCCAGTTTGAGTCGGTTCATACCCAAACCGCTTGTCTATTCAACCCGTCCCAATATACATTCATTCTCATTTATTCAGAATACTTCACACGCGAGAGAGTGAATAGAAGTCGATTATTGGGTACGGCAACTTAATCATTGACCACTTTAACCAGTTTTAATCAAGCTAGTAAGATGCAAGCAAACTTCTGGTGTTTGTTGGGATGGGTACGAATCGACCAGCAGTTCTGGTATGAACCGACTCAAACTGGGTACGAGACGACCATGAATACGAAAGTCTACGAAACAATTGGATACGGATTTTTTTTCTTTTTTTTTAAAATTTAATAAACATTTATTGAAGAAATATTTGTACATAACTAAACTTACATTACATTACTCTACTTACATTACTCGACATCACTCTACTTATTACATTACTGTACTTAATGGATTAGTTACCAGTACTTATTTCTTACTTATACTAACAGTCACTTACCAATAGTCACTTACAGCGTAATGTTACTTACATTACATCATTAAACAGAACATGACTTACAGTACATTAAAATACAAAACTCGCAATTCGCTAATTAAGCTCACTTGCCTACTTATAATTACTTGAAGTACTTTACAAAACGGCTCCTTAATCACTTTCTACGAACACTACAAAGTACATTTAGAGACAGTGCTGGTAGAAAAAGGATAAGATTTTGGGCTTTGATTTAGTGTGTCTGTTTCAATTGGCTAGTTAAATCAGAAAAAAAAGTTTTCATGGGAAAATCTGTGACTTAGGGAAGAAAGCACTTTCTCTATTTGTCATTGTAATATAGCTTTTCTTTCAAATTCCTGGTATAAATAAAAAATCTAGGCAAAGGAGAAAGCGGAGGAAAAAGACCTTTTAAGGACTCTTAATTCGTAAGATGATCATCTCACAGCTGGAGCTTGGGCCGCGTAGGCATATTGTGAATTCACTTTGGTGGCTAATTCCGCGATTTCAGACTGCCTTTAGTTTCTGATAATTGAATGATCAGCCAATAAGAAAGGACTGTGCTAAATTTGAAGTATCGGGAGCAACACATTGACAAGATCTAGACGAAGGTAAACTGAGTTTCTAAGAAAATACTTTACATAAGAAAAATACCTACATAAGAAAAAGCCCTTTTAAGGGCTTTTTCTTATGTAGGTAGTAAACCTGGAAATGGATAGCTCGCCAAAATGGGTTCTTTTCAACATAGTAAGCGGTCAGATAGGAAGCGATGCACGGTGGAAGTAAGGTGAGGTATTTTTATTGAGAATTTGACTGTATTTTTAATTCCTAACTGAGCAGTAGTAAACTATTCTCATACAAAGCGACACATTGACAAGATCTAGGAGTAAGTAAGCTTT